TACTAAACAGAAACTGCATTAAGATAAAATATTACAAGATTATAATTCACAATTCATTCATTTACAACCTAATGTATTTGAGCTAGAACAAACATCAGAGACGGCACATGAAAAAACTAGTTTAACTTTGAAGCAGCTACGTTTCATCACTAATGCAGCTGCAAAGACAAGCAACATTAGCTTTACTGTTAATTAGTTTTATGTTTGAGGAATAAAAGAAGTCTAAAGAAGATAATTAGCACTGTGATATATGGGTTTCCAAAGCATTTTCCTCATGTTGGCGTCTCCTTCAGATGAATCAATTTTGTTGTAGCATTCCACATATTTGGATAAAAGTCCCTGTCAAATGACTAAATGTACTTTGAATATAAATCCTAATATATATATATATATATATATAAAACTGTCATCACACAGTTGCAAGCTGAATCACTAGCCAAACTAAAACACTATAACATACAATAGTGATGCATTTACAGCATCTAAATATACAATAATGATGCACTGACGACACCTAAAACGTAAGTTATTTACGTATGAACAAGTTACAAATGAATCCTTATGAACATTGAAATAGCGGTATTTTATTATTATTGTATTCAGTTGTCATATCACTAGCATTATGTTTTCAGTTGCATTATTAAATTGTTTACTCATTTACTTAAGAAATTATAACATTTCTTATATGATAACAAAGTGTTTCGAAGATTACACAATGTTCAACAAGACTACACTTTAAACCCTTAAAGTTAATAACATTTCTGCAATCGTTTAACCATTACTTATCACGTAATATTTACTCCGTTTGCCATGGAACACAAAAGGTGTTTTCTCCGACATGCTGTGACTGACAATAGAACCATAAAATAAACCAAAAACGCAACATAATTGCAAAAGGAATCAATTTAGATTCAACTGAGGTTTAGAGGTAGGAGTGGGATTAGAGACTATAAAAATATATATTTAATGCTATATTGTTACTAAAACGGTAATTTCCCTGCACATTCCGGTTTATTACATTTTATATCTTTTTATATTCACTACAAAATGGGTAGAGGTTTAGGTTTGGGGGTAGGTTAAGGGGTCTAACAATCTAAATCACTTATCGATAAAATGATAAAAATGCATTGATACAAATATCTTAATGATATAAAAGATTCATAAACATGTTACATTTTTTAGCTAAAAATATGTTGCAATTTGTACGATTTAAACGTTGAAATACGTCTAAATTTTACATTTCAGCATCAACAAAAACATACAAAATTTAAAGTTTTGTGCTTGTAAACGTTAAGTACTAATACCTACGTATAAACAATGAGACCAGGCTGGGTATAGCACTAGTAAAATTGTAGCTGAATTACAAGACGTATTGCTAACTAAAATCTTTGGTTTCTGCTGTTAAGTAAACGGTCATATTAATAGAAATCCTAAAAAATACTGCTCCGGGTAACCCAAAAGTTTCTCACCAAAAGTTTCTCCTCCAACATAGCAGTCTCCGGACTTTCTAAGCAATGGTAAACTTTCGTCATCACAACGGAAGGCCCGCCTCTCCGTTCATTCGATTGGACAATGGAAAAAATGCGAATGACGTCGGGCTCTTTTTCTGCTCAGAGTTGCTTTTTTTCAACTTCAGGAGCTCAGAGCGCTCCTGCAAAAACGCGAGGCGCACAGGGCGCATAAACAGCACGCAGAACGCTCACTGCCAACCGAAAACAATTAAAAAAAGGCGCCTCTCACTGCAAAAAACGCGTTCTGTGTGAACGGGGCTTAAGTCATTATAATCAGTAATTATGTCCCCACTGGATGCAACAAATGCCTCGTTTGTAATGGGATTTATTGGTTTTGTCTCGTCGCGCCGGGACACGGCATCACAGTATGGTAAGGGGCGTAACATTTCCGTCACACGCTTGAGGTATTCGGCCAATCACAATGCACAAGATAGCTGGCCAATCACAGCACACCTCGCTTTTCAGACCGATGAGCTTTGTAAAAATCAACGCGTTTCAGAAAGGCGGGGCATAGAGGAGCAACAATAATGTACAGTATGTGGAAAATGTGTTTTTTTTACTTTTTTTTAACATAAACACATTGCATTACACCAAATACAGAAATGAATGTTCTTTTTTAGCAACATCATATGACCCCTTTAAGAGAACATTGCCAGAACGTTAGCCAATGTTCTGAGAAGGCTTCCTGTTAGCCGGGCTGTTAGACTAATCATATGGACACACACACTTCACAGAGCAGTTTCTAAATGTCACAAATGATGACCACAAAATTACCACCCTCACAAAATACCATGGTGTTCATTTAATCCATAACGTTTATAATGTTATTATGTATTACACATGTTAATCCAAAATAAGGCTTATTTTTCTCATTTTATATTTTTTTGCCCTGTTCAAAAGTACTGAAAATGATTTCCGGGACTCTGTCTAAATGACTACATGCTAAAATGTTCTGCCACTATGATTACCTCAAGCGCACAAGGCATTCGCTACTGTAATGACTGTCATTCAGAGGTAGATTCATTCAGAATATTCCTCAAAATGTCTGTCTATGGGCAGAATATGGTTAGTGAGTCTCCAAGAAGCACCAGTCACAGAAATGTCGTTTTACACAAAGGACTATGAATGCACCCATATATGCCGTTTTTTTGGAGCGAGCCTTGGCCACAGTGCCTGTTTACGCTGTTTAATGGGGCTAACCTTTCCCGTCACACACTTAGAGGCACTTCTCTCTGGAAATCAACAGTTGTGAAGGGCAAATTCAAATTGGTACACCACCTCCCCTTAAATGAAAGGAAAAAGTCCTGTGTGTCACTTTAACTGTGTTTAACGTGTTGAAGTAACACTAAGAGCAACTTCAACTTACAAGGCTACAAGAATCCAACATCTACAGCACGGCTGCTAACTCTAGAAAGTAGAAATATGTTACATGTGACAAGGAAAGAAGGACAGAAGAGACCTGAATATATTTAGTTATTTGTAATTTTGCAATCTGAACAGCAGAACACCATATGAACACATCTTTATGTGGTTTGAAAACCAATTAAAATATGATTTTCAGAAATTAATTTCAGTCTGAAAGGTCAGATCACATTTCAAATAGTATTTTTGGGTCATTCAGCGTGTGATTTGTCGAAAATGTCAAAGACAATGCAAGTCAAACAAAATTATGTATTATTATTATTATTATTATTATTATTATTATTATTATTATTATTATTATTATATTGTTTCATAGGTTTATACTTGCCACTATTTTGTTCGTTTGTTAATTCGTTCGTTTATTTATTTATTTAGGACCATTTGTAATCAAATAGTGACAAGTGTGTAAAAACAAACAAACAAAAAAAAAAAATCTGTATATCATTACACCAACTGTTTGTTTTTTTGTTTGTTTGTTCAGGGCCATATGTAATAAAATCAGTAACAGGTATAAATGCAGACAAAACAAAAAAATAATAAATAAATAAATAGAGACCAGATACACAACCTAAAATTTATACTTTCCTTTATCTAGTTTTTTTTTTTTTAAATAAGAAATCTTCAACCATTATGTGCGTGAGCTCCTCTCCTTGTTGAACTTTATCTAGTCACATAAATGTTACCCATCAACTACCAATTTATATTTATAGCACTTTATTCCTCTGAGTTTTCTCTCATTTCAGTCTGTTTTCAAGCTTTAAAGTTTAATTCCTCATCCCGGCCTGTCATAACAGGCATGCGAGACGGCATTATCTCGCTAACCTTGTAGCTCAAACCCTGCCATGTCTGCTCTTTCCTGAGTGACAGCAAATATGTCTGAAATGAGTTGTGGCTGCTGAAGACTATTTTCCTGACAGTGATGCAGCATGCTTTGTCAGTCAGGTCTCCACCTTGGTCCTTTAGAAAACAACCTCTGACAAACGCAACAGTTTGTCCATACATCAAGGTCCGTCCTCATGTCCTGCAGTGCGTAAAGTTACGTGACAGACATTCTGTCATTCAGAACATCAGCAATGGACCATTAAATGTGTGATGTGTTATTGTTGCATTTTTTCACGTTTTTACAAACAAAAATAATGTGTCATGCACGTGACTGACAAGTGGTGAAACAATCCTCAGGAGCATGGGGCGAGTTTATGAGATGTATGACAATGTGTCAGGCCTACAACAGCTGAAGGGTGCCATCTTCCCTCAGGTAAACTTTCTCAAACTTTCGCCTTTTTACTTTCCTCCGGAGAAGATGTACAGCTAAACTCTCTGAAGTTCTGCTTTTTGAGAAGTTTTAGAGTTTCTCTGCACTGGCGCTGGGGAAGAATCACTCCCATGCTTTTTGAAAGAAAGTGTCAATGCATACATTTGTGCAAACCAACTAGGACAGAATGAGAAGTGAAGACAAAAGGGGGGAAAAAAGAAATAAAAAAAAGGCGAAAGACTGATAATAAATAAACAAATAAATAACTGCAATAAATACTCATTTTATATATTAATAGGTATCACTGATATTGATATTTTATAAACGTATTATTATTATTATTATTATTATTATTATTATACAAACAAAAAACTTTCAGGACTAACCCAACTGTTGGGTTAAATTTTGTTTACATTTTTAAATTAACTTTTTAACCCAACAGTTGGGTTAGTCCATATTTGACCCAACATTGGTTGAAACAACCCAGCATTTTTTAGAGTGTGAGAACACACGCAGTAGACAAGGTCAGAACAGGAGGATGAAGAAGAAATTGAGGGGTGAAAGAAAAGCAGGGGGATGAGGAGGAGGAAGAAGAGGTTTTGCGTCAGGTACTAAAGAGCTTATTGTTCTAGACTGAGTAGTCGATTGTGAAATGACAAGCATGACATTCTTGGAGCAACCTGGAAACTACCAGCAGACTGATAAAAGCCATTTACAAACTCCAGAACAAAAATAAAGATTGGAGTTAGCTGGTTTGAGTTGAGCTATTTTTGTGTGAAGTGACAGGGCCATTTGAGTGTTTATCATCAGCTTACCCATCATTCTACCCATCATGGTGGGTCGTGGGGTGTGGTTGTCATCCAGGCTCTCTCTGGGATACAGCGACTGAGAGATCCGTCGCTCATGTTCGTCTCGTGGAGAGTTCAGAGGCACAGGTGGGCTACCTGGAGCCTGCTGGGAAGAAAAAAAAATACACTTCTTTATTCTGGCTTATTTTTAATCTTTCAGCTGCTACTTTTCTTGCCCCTTTATGAAATAGTTTTTCTTGCTTTAAGCACAAATGTCTCTAAATTTTGTCAGATGTAACAACAAACACAGAACAAGTAGAATAAATTAATTTCTAACCCCACGCGCTAGTGGTAATAGAGGAGTTACTGTGCTCATTTGATTAGGCTGTTGGTGAGTGTGGTCTGATGTTAAGTCCTTTGTGAGCTCTCATGTCCTTAGTATTATACATTTCCCCCATGGGGGCCCACACTGATCGTGAGAGGGTTGCACTTTCTCCCAAAGGAACTTCTCCTGAAGGAGGCTGTGTTGAGATGAGGGTCTGTGATATTTCTCTCCCATTCTTACCAGCTGGGGTCTGGCGACTAGGAAGACCAAGGTCCAAGGTCTGTTTTTAAACACAGCTCTCTGAACATGGCAACAAGCCTCAAGGGAACTTTGGGAATGCTTACAATGTAGCAAGGTATTTATGTGCTTCAGCATGTGGTAAAGTGGTTGCTAGGGTGTTCTCAATAGTTGCCAAGCATTTTCTTACTTGCCCAAGTCATCCATCATTCTACTTATCCATCCATCCAACCAATCATTTATCTATCTATTGTTCTACCTAACCATCTATTCATCATTCTACCCATTCATCCATAAGTTGTTGGTGGTGACCCAGGGTGTTGCTAGGTCATTACAACCAAGCAAGGTATTTTAGGTGCTTCAGAGTGAGGTAAAGTGGTTGTTAGGGTGTTCTTGATAGTTGCCAATAATTTTCTTACTGACCCAAGTCAAAAGAGCCCACCAATTCTCCAATGGTTTTCTGATTTCTAGGTATGACTCAGTCATCCATCCATCCATCCATCCATCCATCCATCCATCCATCCATCCATCCATCCATCCATCCATCCATCCTCCCACCCATCTATCCATCTATCCATTCATCCACTTATCCTTCACCCTTTTACCTATCCATCCATCCATCCATCGTCCTGCCTATCCATTCATCCATCCATCCATCCATCGCTCTACTTATACATCCATCCATCCATCCATCCACTTATCCATCTATCCATCATCTTTCTACCTATCATCCACCCATCCATCTTCTATCCATCTACTTATCCATCATCATTTTACCTACCTATCCATCTATCCATTCATCCATCCATCCATTCATCCTTCCATCCACCCATTCATCCATCCATCTATCAATCCTACTGTCTTTCCTTCCATCTACTTATCCATAATCTTTATACCTATCCATCCATCCATCTACTTATTCATCCATCCATCATCATTCTACATATCCATCATTCAATTGTTCTACCTATCATCTATCCATCATAATTCTACCTATCCATCCATGCATCTATCCATCCATCTACTCATCCATCTATCCATCATCATTATATCTATCCATCCAGCCATATATACATACATCCACTTATCCATCTATCCATCATCATTCCATCCATCCATCCTACTGTCTTTCCATCCATAGGGTTTTCTTGATCGTTTCTAAATGTTTTCATACTGGTCTCTCTTTCACTATAGGTCTGTTAGATTTTTCACTTGATTTATAGTCCACCGGGAAAATATTACAAGTCCGATAGCTTAGAAATGTAGGTACACAATGTCATGTTCATAACACAAATGGTACAGGACACATTATACATCAAGGTTAAATACTTGTAAGGTAGAGGTTTATGCACATCTCTAACTTAAATGTTAGTAGTAACTACATATTAGTTACTACATTCCCAATCAAAAACATAGACAGTTCTGACTATGAGAAAATACAAGTGCCTAGGAGTCAACTAGAGTCAACTAGAGTCGAGTAGAGAGAGATTTGCTGGTAAACCAAGGATTTGGGGTGAGATGAACGCCAAGCTCTGATTAGCTAAGGCTGGGGTATGAGATATTAATCAACGATCAGGTAAGCTGGGTGCTCTCGGATCCTCTCCAGTTTTCCCATACATACCAGAGGAGACATATGGAGGAATGAGATTGATGTCTTCTGATCAATAGCAACCAAAAACAATTTTGAGAATCCAGATTCATCCTGGACAGTGGGATGCTGATCACACAAGACATATCTTACTCAATCTGCTCAGGACGTCTGTGGCGCTGCGGTGGGTACAACAAACGTTGTATTTGGGAGGGAAACTACCAGACTGTTTATATAGATGAGATGTTTAATGAAGTCTAGAGCTGCTGACTTATCTCGCTGGGCCTGATAAAACAGCACGCATAGAAGGGGTCAACGCAATTACAACTTCATCCAACGCAAGTGCCACGGGCAGCCTGACAATAAACTGTTCAGCCTGACTCTCCTCAATGAGCTTTTCATTACAAAACCAGGATTTGTTTTATGAACCTTTGTTGAAGTCTGACGGTTGTGACAGAATGAGAGGAAGATAAAAATGAGACGAGGAAGTATTTCTTAAAGAAAATAGAGGGTGATTGGTTTCAAATGATCTGCTTCTGGGAGACACAGATCTTTAACGGCACAGTGTTTGGGAGGGAAGGGAGGTGAACAGTTATTATGAACCCATTTATTCTGCCTACTCCAGGCATAATCTCCCCTAATCTAGTGCTTTCTCAAACAGGATTGGCCATGTGTATTAAAACACCCCCTTCTAGTCTTCCTGTGAGGCTGTGATTGGCAGTCTGCAGGCTAGTTTGTCCTGCATCTGTCATTCTACCTATCCATCCATCAAACCCCCCATCATTTTACCTATTCATCCATCCATCCATTATTCTACCTGCCTATCCATCCGTTCATCATTTTACCTATCCTTCCATCTATCTATCCATCCATTCATATAACTACCCATCATTCTACCTACCCATCCAACCATCATCTGTCTGTCCATCCATCCATCCATCCATCATTTTATCTATACCTCCATCCATCCATCCTTCTGTCTATCCATCCATCCATCCATCCAGTCACTTATCTATCTATTTGTCATTCTACCTGTCATTCTACCTATCCATCTATATATTTATCTATCCATCCTTCCATCAACCTATCCATCCATCCATCCATCCATCCATCTATCCATCATGATTCTGCCTATCCATCCATCCATCCATCCATATAACTATCCATCATACTACCTATCCATCCAATCATCGTCTGTCTGTCCATCCATCCATCCATCCATCTACATATCATTCTACCTATCCATCTATCTATTTATCTATCCATCCTTCCTTCAACCTATCCATCCATCCATCATTCTAGTAGTATATCCTTCAGAAAATACACAAATAAAAAACTTAGTTATGGAATAAATGCAACAATTGAGCACTGGTCTTTTTTCATATTGTTGCCTTAACCATGATAATATCACTGTAATATACAACCTTCTATTCATGTTTTACATTAAAACACATTTGAGAAAATCCTCTCTGACCTTGGATGGCAGTGAGAATATCCTTGTCTACATAGCAGCATCATATAGTCATTCTAATCCTTTCTCTAACACACACACACACACACACATTTCCAGACTGGGCTGGCCTCCTGATGCTGTTTATGAGGTCTTAATCCAGCGCCCCTCTCCCTCTCTCGGCCTGTAATTACAGGTCTTAAGCTGTCACATGCAGCCTCTGCTTTGTCCAGCTCTCTCTGGAGACACAGACAGCCTCATTAGCCCTCTATATTGCATCTCTCCAAGCCCATTCTCTCCCTCTCCTGGCATTAATTTCCTCGCCTGTATAGAGAGCAGATGAACCCCTTTCTATGGCAGATCTGTTGTCCTCTCTCACATATTTTCAGTCTATTTTTCAAGTGGATTATGATGGCTACAAGCGCCCGAGGCTGTGCAGCTGTGGGTCGAAGTGCTCAAATTTACCCTGTGAATACTGTGCTTTTGAGCCAGTGACAGTTTATTATGTGTCCCCATAATGGGTGAATTAATTCTCTCAGTGGTGAGAGTAAGGGCACTGAACGGGTACAACTGCTTTAGTTAAAGGAGCCAAATTCTACCCATTTAAAATCCACATATAATACAGCATTAGTCAAAGTTTTTTGCACCCAAAATGTAATTTAGTTTTCCCTGACCATTTAGCATTAAAAAGGCTTTTTTTCTGTTGTTACTGTACCTTTAGGACTTCTTTATGTAAGTGACCTTTATTATGATTGGCTAACCTAAGTCATCTGTGTGGGACCATCAATGAATACTGGACATAGGCTGATATATAAATACAGGCTGTCACATGATAAAGCACTCATGCCTGTGGCATCTACAGCATGACTGGAGGGAGAGGGATATGAACAGATCAAAATTAGTTGTTCAATAAAAGTGGCAAATTATTGTAAATTTTCAGATACATACATTAATATTTATAGATTTTTTTTTATACAGTACATTTAGATTTAAATGTATTTAACATTTATATATTTAAGTTATACTATATACTATATATATACTAAAAATAAAAAATACACAACAGAATAACTAAAACTAACTGAACTTCTTAAAATGAAAATGGAAAATATAAAAATAAAGATTGATTAAAATATTCATAAAAACTACAATAGTATTTCAATGATACTAAAATAACACTCATATTACACACTTGCTTTATTTATGCATTATAAACATATAATAAACATAACATATTTACGTATCTACATTTTTATACACTGGATTTTCATTATTTATATATTCTTTTTTGTAGGGAAAATAGTGTGGAAATACATCAATATAGTTCAGTTATTAGTATTATTACTTATTTAATGGCATTTAAAAAAAGAGACATTTTTACCGACAACAAAGAGCAAATGAAAGCTATGCTGATCTCTTCTGTACACAACTGTCTCTGTTCACCTTGTGAAGTGTGAGTGAGTCAGATTGAGTGGCTGTTGTGACACCTAATCTGCACAATGCCACTGTGCTTTAGTACGCTGCCCTTTCATTCAATCAATTACTTTCTCAGGTGTACCAATTGAG